TTAAAGGCCAAAGCCAACAATTGAAAGTTATTTGCATTAAACAACTAATAAAACACTTTCTGCATTGCATTTTTCTTAGGAACTGCGATGTATACTACAAGTGGTAATCTTCCTGACTACGACACATTCAGCAGCACAGTTCTTTGTAAAAGAAAGGAGAAATTACCAACCCAAAGTGCTGGAACAGAAGAATTACGCCCATACCAAAGCATAAATGACAAAAATGGCTATCAATGTGACTTCCAGTTTTAAATGATTAGGTCACAAATTGAACATACTCCCCTCCTTAGTCACCTAATGCTTAGAAATTTTCTCTCTTCTGTTTTTCAAAGTCTTGCTTTGTGGGCTAGATAAGAACTTCATTTAAGTGCCTTCCTTATTTTCTGGTGGCAGAACTTTTACGTAGGTTTAGAAGACCATAGCTAACAAGAAGAACAACAAAGTAGTGTCAAAGCAGCTTTCAGGGACAGAGAATATGCAGAACACAAACATCTGAAATAGGGCCCAGATATCCAGGCAAACTACCACGGCTTAACAAGTACTGCCTGTCATGGGTACTCTTAACAACTGACTGCAGATGTTTAGAGCCTGTGGCAAATGGAAACCAAAAGTATTCCAGCCTTTCTTACTGGCACTTGAGCCATCAGCTGGATCAGCTAAGCTCAAAAGGCTCATCATCTCTCCTTCAGATGGGTTCAGATACTCTGAGACAAGGATTCCTGCCAATATTCCTACTGAATGTCTCTCACTCATTTTAAATTCACACACCTGATTCAAGCAATTCAGCCTAAAAGCAATTATGGAAAATATTCAAGTACTCAGTTGTATAGAGGAACAAAATAACAAGACTAACAATTGAGGATGTTATTGCAGAACATTAAACGATATCCCTCTTTTATGCTACAGAAGAGGGAATTACTTCATTTTAACTATAATGAAATATGTAGAAATTGGAAATGAATCTCCATTCAGGTGCTTTTGTGCTAAAATGCAAGAAATAATTGCTTAATAAACTGCTGGCACATTTTAGAACGTGCTTTATCATAATCCCCAGTGAAGACTCTAAGGGACAGCTTCATTCATTTAATACCTTTAACATAAATGGTTCAAGTCTTAGAGTGTTCCCTCAGAACAGAAGAGACATTTTCGAGGAGTGTTTGAAATGCAGCATTTCTGACAGAGATAGCAAATGCTACCACTCATGGATGTATGCTATACAGGGTCTTAAAAGCTATGGTGTTTAGCATTTAACGTCCCTGCATGTAACACTGGTACTAAAAGGGGAAAATCTCTTCCCCTACATTCATACAGCTGTTTCAACAGAAGCCTGACACATGTTAAGTGATCCTTCTTCCCCTGTGCTTTGTTTTGACACAAATCGGGAGGTCAGCTCCCAGCATGCCTGCCAGGCACTCCAGATCCGTCTTCTGTGGCTCTTAACACTCCACACATCAACGTTGCGTCCAGTTGCAGAAAAAGAGGGTTTCCCTTTAAACAAGGACAGGGAACTTGTGCGATACAGATGACCCGGTGTGCAAGTTAACCAGCTCCAACAGTTCACTTTTGTCAACCGAATGCTGAGCACCTTTCCAGTAAGCCTGCGGGACACGGGAGCTGCACAGCTGCATCACCAGAGAGCCCTGAGCACTGATGCGCTCACCAGCCACAAACAGGGCTGTGCAGCAAAGCCCTGGGCTCAAAGGTAGCTTTGTGGTGTTGTCATTTCTGCTGTTCTCTCTCCTTCTCTCTCTCTCTCACACCATCTCAGGGAATTCTTACTCCCCTAAGGATTCTCCAGCACAATGGCAAATGAAAGACATTTTCCAAGCTTTTGGACAAAGTGAATGCATGCTTTTATACAGTTATTTTTCTGGAACTCTATTGCTCTTTAAGACAGAAGTGATGAAGTACTGTGTATATTTTGGAGTTATTCCTTAAAGCAATGGCAAAACACAGGTAACATTTTTAAAACAGTGAGAGGTACAGCAAGTACAAAAGTACTTGTATTGTAACAATGAGCAATTTCAATACTCCAGCTGTAATGGGAAGTTCCTGGAATGCAGTTAAACTAAATTCTGCTTGGCTCAGAGCCATGCAAATATTTCTTTTCCACATTCCCACCAATTACAGAAGTACAGTAAGTGTTCTTGTTCTTAAGTGCACTATTACAGAGACACAAATAAGCCATTTTTCATCCAGTGACTGGAGCTAACATTTCTAAAATACTGTATTACACATTTGGCAAAATTGAAGCATGCTCCACTTTTTGTGTTGCATTAGAAAGCCATGTCATTAGAATCAACTGAAAATGGGTGGTACCACAGCACATCCGAATCAGACTAGACACTATGATGGTAGTAGAGTTGTTTATACTTCAGTGCTAGTAAAAGTATTCACACTTAGGAGAGCAGTCACCAAACAGAGATCCACTATTGATAACTGCTTCCATGCAAACAATAGCAGATATGTATCATGACGGAAACCTTTTAGGGAAAAATTACATTGCATAAAGTCAGTTATCATTATAAATCCATGTTTCAGATTGATAATTTTATACTAATTTATCCTACTAAAAAAGAAAAGCTAATCAGAAGTATACACATATTTTACATACTTTTTAGAGTGAAATATATCACCCTCACAAACATTGCCTTCCATCAGTCACAAAGTCTACCAAAATCTAGAAAGACCATAAGAGTGCAATATAATCTCTTAATGTACACCAGCTGTAGTCTGCCTGTACCATGCGTGCTTATGTTTCCTCTTACAGATGCCCCAAACTATAGCACAAGGTTGAATATGAGTGCATTTCTAAGCATAAAAAGAAAATTGCCCAATTTTGGAAGCCTGCAGCCCCATATGGCGTGCACAACAAAGATATGTCTGAAGTGCAGGAGGGTGAATTTCTACAATACTAGCATGAAAAAAAGAAATATTCTCCAGAATCAACCATTATCACTAAACATGACAAATTAAGCATGGAAACTCTATTTCTATACTCAGCTCAGACTCATATGACCATCTTAGAAAAGAAATCTAGGTCTCTCACTAAGAGTTAAGTACCACCTTATTTACATTCTGCCTACTCTTACCAATCCTATGCATATAGCATGTACCAGGGGTAGCTGACCCTATAAAGACAGCATCTAGCCAGATCCACAGGTAGGGATGTTGGGAAACACAGTTCCATTCTCTTGAAGACAAACTGGTAAACTCCAAGCTCTGGAGTTTACAGACTGCTACTGGCAGGAACTCTCTGACCAGTGCAAGGATGACTGTGAGACAACTATGGCTTTGTGGACAGCTTTACACTGGTTGGAAAGGAGATCACATTTTCTTCATCTCAACTACAGTACCAAAAACTGAGATAAAAGTATCACCTCTGTACAACATCCCTTTGCACTCCATCGATAGAAAAAACTTTGCAGTGCTTTTGAGATCTGCTCAGATTCATTGTCCAGAAAACACAAGGCCATGCTCTGTCACTTCAGAAAACAAAACAGATCACATCCTCAACTAGGTATGAGCTTTCTTTAAGTATTAGAAAAGGAGAAATGTCTGCTTTGCAGATATTCTCCACCCTCAGTGTTTTCAGAGCCTGTATCCATAGCTGTTCAAGAACAAAAAGATAAATAGCATATTCTCATTCAACACCATGACCATAACCAAAAGTGCCTTACTACTTTCAGGCTCTAGGGTCTGCCATTTTCTTCCCCTCAAACTTACAGAAAAAAAAAACCAAACCTTGCTAAAGCCATCTTCATGGTTCAACACTGATCACAGTAACCCTATCTTCAGTTTTCCCAATGCCTATCCTTCACCTCTACATTAGATGCCAACTGTATCAAAGAAAAAACTTGGATCAATCCCCATGTCCTTGTTCTAGAATTTTAATAACTAACCTCAGTCAGCCAGTATTTCCATTCCTTATGATATCTTTTATTATATTAAATTATCCTTAGGTTTCTGCATTTTCCTCCTTAATCACGCAAAGCATTATCCCTTACATAATCTACAGACCTATTTATTTCTTTAGATGCCATCTTTGGTGTTATGTCTATCCATGGTTACATCAAGGTGACTGGCTAACAGAAAAATGAAACTTCTGGTTCTCTCACTCCTTGTATTTTTTCCTCTTGCATGTCTGTCATTACCATTTATCTGTGAACATGGAATCTACTACCAAAAATAGTTAAAAAAACCCCACACCACCAGCAAAGCTGCTTACAACATCAGCTTACTTATGCCAATGTTCATACCCTGTCTTTCTTTCAATATATGATTTACCTGATCTGTTCTCTAGGCTTTAAAACCTCTGGGGCAAGAATTATCATCTCTGCTCATATTAAACAGGTTAAAGTTGTCAAATGTTACTACAGTATATTGCTTTTTATACTACCAATTCAGTTAGGTTTTATTAGCAATAGTTCGCATGCTAAAACTATGCACAGACCTTTATTCTATTATTACATTTCACGTGAAAAGCCTAAAATGACTCCTGCATACTTAGCTGACGAAAGATTTACTCCATCTAACAAAGGATGGTACAATTTAGCTTTCTTTTACAATGAAGCAGACAAGACAACCGCTCTTTGCTGAATGCTGAGGAGTGGCAATACTAAGAGAGTTCAAAGTCACTTTTAAAGTGACTCTTAGATAAATCTGTTACTCCAGACAGTTGGTCTAGACTACTTACAATATAATCATTGCTTGGGTGCTGAAAAAAGCAACCTAGCCAGATCACACGTGGTACTTATGATTTGCTGGTCTCCTTCCATTACATGCCCAATACTTAAGCAATGCAAAGCTCCATTATGACACTGCGTCAAGAAAGTGGCGGTACCCCATTTGGAACCCTTTTGGAGACAGGATAATATAACAATATTTCCAGACAGAAGGACTGCAACATCTTAGGCTTTACAAGAGGTCATACTACGGAATCTCAGTAGCACATCACACTCCCCTTGTTACAGATGACATGAAAAAGCGCACAGACTTACTGACAATTCTCTGATTAATTTTCTTAGTTCCCTGTGCCCGTGCTTCTCAGCGATAGTTGCTGGATCCTCTCCATATTTGTTGGTTATTTTGCAGACCTTTGCGGCCTCAGGAGAATCGAGTAGAAAAGTTGCGAGGTTCTTTAATCCAAATCTGGCTGCGCAGTGAAGGAGAGTAGGAAATTCTTCCAAATAGCTATCTGTATATGGAAACAAAAGGTTTCATAAAGAAGTTTTGCTTTCATAGAACACTTCTTTTACAAAATTCCTTTGAACATTAGTGCTAGGGAATCACAGTTATCAAACTGCTAATACAGAACTTCTATCCAAAGAACAATTCCTCCAACTAACAGTTTTACAATTCACATATATGTTTTAACAATGGAGCCTTTAGTGTAACTAAGAAATCTCTTTGTTTTGACAGAAGGATTTTAAAGCATTTAAGTTCTATTAAGAAATAAGTTTTCTTGCAAGGAGAAGAAAATTCTACAGCCAAGAAATGCTTTGGCTTAGGTGTATATTATTTAATGCTTTAGGACTATTTATAGTTTGCAGCGTTTCAATTGGGCATTTTTAAAGGTTTATGGCCCTATGTTTTCATATTAAAAGACATTTCTGAAAATTCCTATGACTACCAGAGACTTGCAAAATTTTGCTTATCTGTAATGAAAACCTCAGGGAATTTAAAGATGAATGTATTAGATAATGGTCTTTTAGGATTTACCTGAGAAAGTATTATATTCATTTCTATCAGAGACTTTATTTTTCACCCTAGAGGACTCGGACAAAGCTAAACTGAAGTCAGTTTATCATTTCAGCATAGTCCTGTATTCCAGCTCTACAAGATGCCACAAATTATACAGTACAACAAAGAACAGAAAGAAAAAAAAGTGATCAAGCATAAACAATACTTCCCTTTGCCTTCATACTCTAATTTGGTTTGTTATGCAGCTATTTGTCTATATATCAGCATGAAATGTACCTCTTTTCCAACTATGTATTCATTGTGCTCCAGGCACCACCAACTTCATGCACCCTCAGGGTCTTTTGGCAGCCTTTACTACCCAGTGCATGAAGAACTGCTTCCTCTAGTTTATTTTCAACCTGACTCCTGCTAGGTTCAATTGACAATCCTTAATTCATGTTATTCTCCACCTCTCTCTGCCCTTCTAAGTGATTTATTCATTCCCAGACTCTTTCTTGAAGAGCTCCAGTCTACTTAATTGTGCCTTACAGAGAATCAACTCCATAACCCCCATTGCTCTTTTCTAAACATATTCCAGCTTTAATATATCTATTTTGAGATGATGGGACAAGAGCTGCACATGATACTTAAGTTGTGGGTGAACCATGCAATTTATGCATTGTCATAATTATGTCCTGGTTTGTTCTCTATTTCTTTTCTAATAATTCTTGGTGTTTCATTCGCTTTTTGATCTGCTGCCTAGCAACAAGGTGATGTTATCATGGAACTGCGTGGTCTTATTCCTCAGTGTTAATAGGCTGCTCAAAGCCTCTCATTCTGTATGACAACATAGGACCACTTTTTCCACATGCATCACTTTGTTTCTACCTACAATGAATATCATCTGACATTTTACTGCATAATTACTAAACCTCATACAGCCTTTCTCCCATTCCCCCCCCCCCCCCCCCCCCCCCCCCCCCCAACTAGACCTCCTCACTGCCCTGAACATTTTGTATCGCTAGCCTAAGTTTTTTCCAACTGTCTGCCTCCTGGTTTTGGCCAGATGTTCATCCACGTGATGACTTGACTTGATCAACTTAATCAGGGTTGATGACTCTTATAAAAAACGACAAGAAATCTATAAGCAAGTCTTCATCTTACAGAAAAATTATTTCATCACAATTATTAATTTGTCTGGTAGAGACAACACATTAACCTGCTTCCAGTTCTCAAGGTCCCCAGAGAAATTGGGCTTTGGCATCACAGTTACACCTTCCAGTACTGCAGAACTGAAAAACTGCACAGTACTGTTAGAAATCCAGCTATTTTACTTTAAAATTTCCTCAGAGCTCTTATGAATACCAGTTAGTCTTGGTAATATCTTTGTGCTCAACTTGCCCATTTCTGTTGGAACTTTGTGATTTCTTCAACTCCAGACAAACTCTTTCCACATGTCTCCCAGCAGGACTACAACTTGGGAATCTACAGTTTCTTATAGCTTTCTTAAGTTCTCTTTCATATTGCAGTCATTGGCTGTCCTACAGGGACATGTCCTGCATTTTCAGCCTTTTGTATGCTGGAAAAAAGACTTCGCAGTAGTAGCATTGCTCAACATATTAACTGAAGTTCCACAAACTGGACTTTGTTCTGTAGAAGATATATAAATGTTACACCAGAATATAGCCATTTGACTTCTTGTCACTACTTTGCTAACTGCCGGGAAAACCTAACCTCATTCCTGTTGCGGTTTAAACCTAGCTGTGGTATGGATGTGCTGTGGTATGGAATGCCTCTTTGGCTAGCTTGTGTCAGGTGTCCTGTCTCTGCTTCCTCCCGGCTTCCCCTTCTCCCTGGCAGAGCATGAGCCTTACAAAGTCCTTGGTCAGGGTAAACATTACTTAGGAACAACTGAAAACATCGGTGTTATCAGCACTGTTCCCAGGCTGAAAGTCAAAACACAGCCCTGCACCAGCTACCAAGAAGGATAAAAATTGACTGCTACTGCTAAACCCAGGACAATTCCCCACAGACGGAGGCAAATATATACCAACTTAAGGGGCTGTCACATGAGCAGTAAAAATGTATGCAAGTAATTTTAAGGCTGGGATCACTGCAGTAAAGCCAAGTGTACTTTTACACATTACACAGGATTCTATTACAAAAAAATAAAATTTTTCAATGTGCAGCAATGAATTAGGTGTTGAACAGTAATTTTAAGGAGCAGACTACATGAATACTAATCAATAATCTGCATCCTGTCAGCAGACCCTAGAAGGTCAAAAGCAGTTAGTAAAAAGAGTATTAATAAAGTATTAATAACATGTTCTAAAAGAATTTCCACTCATGCTAATGATATCTGAAACAATCGGTTACAAATTCAAAAGCAGAATCAAGTCTATATCTCCAATGGACTGCATGCTATGATTTTATCATCAAAATAAAGAGAAAAAGAGACAATGGCATTTAGAAGCATCTTCTAGGCTTGTAACTGAGTTTTCCAAATAAAAAACCAGAGATATCCCAAAAAGAAAGCCCTTCAGCTCCTTTGCAATTGAGCTTGTTCTTCTGGTTACCACTCAGCTCCTCCTTAGCTAGATTTGATATTAAAGCAGGAAGGCTGCACTTACATACTTTGAACTTTACAGAAGACTACATCATTAACAAATGAAATACCTCAGCCAGCCGTGGAAGATGGTAAAACTCAGTAAATCAATTTCCTAAAACAAACTTTTTTCCAATACTACTCCTTGCAGTAAGGAGGAAAAAAAAGAGGTTGTATTCAGGTATGAAAACTTTAAAATCAGCACTGGTAGTGAGCGAGATCTTTTACATAATACTCAAAAAAGACTTACGCAAAACAAATGGTTTTAACACCACATAAACAACATTAAAGCACTTTTCCCAAGGACAAGACGTAGAAATAGTTTCATTTATTTCTTGTTTTGAGAATGAGTATTCAGGTAAATCTGACCTGCATACCTTCACAACTTTTTGGGCTATGTGAGCTTTGCTATAAAATCATAGCGCCTCAAAAATGTTGTTTCTAGTTTCAGTGCTTTTACTCTGCCCAAAATGAGCGGAACGCAAAGACTTATTTTCTTGTGCAAAGAAATGTGAACTACACAGGCCTCAAACAGCAGGGTGGTTAACATGGCCAGCTTCTACAAAACACATCAGACAAGCACACACATGGCTTCTGGGGCTTCCTACTGTACAGATGCATTAGGAGCAAAGCACTGTCTGAAAACAGCTGACTCCTGTCACACCAGTCCTACCACCTAAACTGACAACCACAGCTAACAAAACTGTCCCCGCTCCCAAATGAGCAACTAAAAACTCTTCCTATTGACAAGAAATACAGGCTTCCAACTCAAGATACCACCTAGGGAGACTCTTCCTATAAGGAATGCAAACACTGACGAACGACATCATCATACTATTCCTAGCACTTTTGACTTCAGCTGCTTTTTTGGGGCATGATAACATTCCACCTACAGCCTAGGCTAGGTGCTAACAAGATTGGGATTAGAAATTGAGAAATCTCAGTTCAAACTTATTTTCCTCTGCCCTCATGGAATTAATGCTAGGCATGTGATTAATCCAGTTGCTCCTGCAGGGTGAAGAGATTCAGCAATGAACAGTGTAGGAAGATAAAGCTTGCAGCCATGATGACTGCTGTTTCTGCATTCCAGCCATCAACAGTTTCAGACATCAAATTGTACCAGCTATTCCCACAGATGGCTCATATATACTCTGTGGTGTAGAGGGAAGGAGCCACACGAACACCAGAAACTCATGGGGAAAGCAGGTATGTGGCTTTGTCTACTGGTCCTGCATTTCAAAATTCCATTTCATTTAATTACCACAACACTTTTGGATCATAGAACCTCTTCAGGCTCAAAAGAGACATATGTACTTTTTGCTTTAGTTATGCAGATCACCAGCTTGGATTAAGAGGCCCTTGACTTGTCACCTTGCCCCTCCACACTCTATATGCCTCGTACCTACAACTTTTCCACCTACCAACATATGGTGGCATACTGATAATACAGAAAATAAGCAAGCCCTGTATCTGCAGGCACTTACCTCATGTCATCTTCAGTCAGTACAGCACCATCAGGCTTACTCTAAGAAAGAGAGGCTCTCTACATCTTAGAAATCATAGAACAATAAAATGGATGGGGTTGGAAAGGACCTTAAGATCATTTAGTTCCAATCCTGGGCAGGGACACCTCGCACTAGACAACAGCTCCCAAGGCCTCATCCAACATGGCCTTGAACATCGCCAGGGATGGGGCATTTACCATTTCTTTGGGCAGCCTGTGCCAGTGCCTCACCACCCTCACAGTAAAGAGTTTCTTCCTTGTATCTAACCTGAACTTCCCCTGCTGAAGTTTGAACTTATTACCTTTCATCTTACCACTACAGTCCCTGATGAAGAGACCCTCCCCAGTATCCCTATAGGCCCCCTCCAGATACTGGAAGGCTGCTATGAGGTCTCCATGCAGCCTTCTCTTCTCCAGGCTGAACAGCCCCAACTTCCTCAGCCTGTCTTCATACGGGAGGTGCTCCAGTCCCCTGATCATCCTCGTGGCCCTTCTCTGGGCTTGTTCCAACAATTCCATGCCCTTATGTTGAGGACACCAGAACTGCACACAATACTCCAAGTGAGGTGTCACGAGAACAGAGTAGAGGGGCAGGATCAACTCCTTCGACCTGCTGGTCATGCTCCTTTTGATACAGCCCAGGATATGGTTGGACTTCTGGGCTGCAAGCACACACTTAAGCCGGCTCATGTTCATTTTCCCATCAACCAACACCCCCAAGTCCTTCTCTGCAGGGCTGCTCTTAACCTCTTCTCCACCCAACCTGTAGCTGTACCTACGATTGCCTCAACCCAGGTGTAGGACCTTGCATTTGGCTTTGTTGAACTTCATGAGGCTGGCACTGGCCTCTCAGAAATTCCTCCCCTAAATACATATTTAATTAATCAATATAGTAAGGTTAATGACATCATTAATGACATCAAAAAAGACAATGGAAGCCTCCTGATCTTTCTTTTTGCTCTCATTCTGAAAAGAAGCACCACTAACTACTTAAATCCCTCCCAAACCACCTGACAAAGGTGAAGAAGTTACCTCTTTCCTCCAAGTTCTACAGCAAAAAAATCAATGACAACTAAAGATAACACCTAAAATAACCAAGCAGGAACAACTCACTACAAGATCTATTTGTGTAGGATTTTTTAAAAAAATATAATTGTTCACTTAATTGCCGATTTACAAAATTCAGTGAACTCTTAAGACAAATTAGATGTTCTACTGTAAAGAAATTTCCACCATACTGTGTTTAACTGCTTTAACTGAAGTTTTGTATTATACACATTAGGAAGAGGCTGTAATTATTTGAAAGCACACATGCTTCAGGCAGAAAATACCGTTCTTGAGCTCACAAGTTTGTCACATTGAATTGGGGAAAATTACTGGAACTTTTATCAACTGGGAAACTGCAACAACTGATACATTTCAGCTAAATACATAGAACTGTACAAAAGTAGTAGTTATTAGGGTAACTAGAAGTCAACAGCTTTTGCTCAGTAGCAGTCCTCTAATGAAGAACATTAAACAGAAAAGCTGCTACCGTTTGGCACCTACACTAAGAACTAGTTAGCTGGTGATCATAAGCAGGAAGGAAAGGTTAAAAAGAAAGTACCCAAGTGGCATATTCGCAAATTTTTAAGAGCATTAAGGCAGCTTCTTCAACTTTCAACTAACTTTTAGGCCAGTGCTTGCTTTTAATTAAAGTTTTAGTTGACATACAACAGGTTAAGAGGGAACTGCTGTTCTGTCCTGTCTTAATTCCTTCTCTGCTCTTCTCTGCAGAGCATTCTGGAACATCTCAGCTATAAAACAGAGCATAAAATCTAATATTACTGTATTGTAGCACTGTCTTAGCCTGTGGGAATTTTCATAAAATTGCAGTAAGCAAACAGAGCAGCCTACAGTGATATTTCTGCAGATCTTGAAGATATTATTCTTTTATTTCCCGAATTATTGATACAGGACATTACCATTTTTTTTTTAAGCAACTTAAATAGACAGTTAAAAGTATTTCTACTGTGTCAATATCAATCAAGCCAAAAAAATGCTTAAATCCCCATCTGTTTCTTCTCCCCCAGTCTGTTCTTCTCCCCCAGTCTGTCTTTTCTCCCATTGTTTCACTAGCAACTGAAAACCCAGGTTGCTTCTCTTTTGGGATAGATGTTTCAGCTTGAAATAAAGAATTACAGGAATCAGAATAGGTCTTGCTATATTGCTAGCAGTGTTAGGTGACAAAAAGCAGTATTTTCTACAGAGAACAAATTCAGGACTTATCATAAGCCTGCTTGAGTTTAATCAGAGAAACAGTAACAGATAACTTGTAAAAAAGGTAAATTACATTAAAGTGGAAAAAAGAAAGGGGTTTTCCTCAAGTAAACTACGCATCTCTTGAACAGGAATCAATGTACAAATAATTCCCAAATGTGAGGATTCAAGAACAGAAACAGAGCTTCCTAAGGTCAAGAAAAGTTTTGAAACCTAAGCTTGTATTTTTAGTGCATTTTGACTAGATTCTATAGCCAGAATATAAAGGCATAACATACATCAAGGTACCCTAAAATCAGTTTGGTGCAGAATGCAGAATATTCAGGACAGTACCTCCAGCTTTGGTCACATACTTCCAGAAGAGATGGAGAATTCCACAACTAAAAATCTCAGACATGCCTTGGCTCTGTCTTTCAGTTAACACTGTTGCTGAACCCAATGTTTTTCCAGTGACTTCTGTTCAGTCTGACTTTAGCTTTCTCACCTGATTGGGCTTCCAGTATTCCCCTTCAGAGACTGCAGAATAATCTCTTTAAATATCACTCATTACTAAAACATTTTTTTTCCCTTGATAAGCTGAATAGAAGTCTTTATCTTAATTCTCCTATACTGTTAGTCAATAATACCCATGCATAATCCTAAATATATTTTGACAATGTTCAGATAGTTTTATGGTCTTTAGAACTACAGAGAACATATTGTACAACAACAACAACAAAAAATAAAACAAACAAAAAACCAAACAAGCCAATTAAAACAAAAAAAGGCACAGTTCAGGACTGAAGTGTGCACTTTATTTCTGACAAGCTTTTATATATACAGCAGTTCCAATGATATTTTTCTGTTAGAGATTACTGATGTACTTTTTCATTACTACTCTATTACAGTAGGATACATCACCAAAAGCAAGCAATTGAAACTTCTTATGTATGGCAAAATACATTCCAATGCCTGCCACTGGAAATCACGTCTACTTTTACCATTTCCAATTGCTGCCTTTTGTAAGTCTGTATCTTTTGAGTAATACTGACAAACTTAAGAGGAGGTCAAACAAGATACAGTATCATCGTCTTTATTTAGGCATAGATGCAATTTCCTTCCTGCATATAGTCCAACAAATGAGATCCCATAAAGAAAGAATATTACAGACATGTTGAAGTGCTCAGGGGGCTATAGCCCTAGGTTTTCATATTGAAAGGAACATCACAAAGTCTGATGCGCTGCTCAAAGAACTCTCTTTGCTTAGATGGCAAGAGATGCAAATTTCCAGAACACATACTTGTGATCCATGGTATCTTTTGAAGATATCCCACTAGGGAAAATCAGCACATACAGGAATTATGAAATTAGGGCTGATTCATCTGCTTGTTCAGAGATTCAGGAATAACTCAACTCAGTGCCAAAGAACTTTTTGTCTGTTAACTAAATTTTCTTCCAAAAAGTACTTAATTAGGTTTTATTATTTAACATTGTCTCTTTGGAAGAAAACATGGTGCTTGGAATAAAATGATATAAAAATGGCTTAACAAGGAGATGCTAGTCCTTTACTAGACCTGATATGTTTAATGCCTGCTTGGGATGCTCTTATAGGGAGTCAAAGACATGGATTTACATACCTTTAAGGGAGAAGGGGAATCAGAGCCTAGTTTTTGCACATTTGAGTGCTTCCTGCTCTGCAGCCACATCTTTCTATCACAAATAACCTAGGCATCTAACTTTGAACTTTCTTGTTGTGCTCCACATCACATCAGTTCTTTTTATGAAGGTCCCTATTTGGCTAAAGTTCACAAACAGTCAACTTGTTCTTGAACGGCACAGGCCTTTTCGGGAGGAATTGCAGGTTGGTAAGCATTATTTTCAATATTCACAAATGTGCCCAGGTCTAACTGGTTACGACAGAAGTAGAAAATCTTTTGATCATCAGAACTAACATTTCACATTGGGAGTGACTCTTCAATGTGTCCTATGCACCCTCATCCTGCAAGTCTTGCACAGAAAAACTTCAGTAACATGTGCCTCACTTAGCAATCTACTTGACCTAGACTCACATTTAAGCTCATTTTTAGACTACAAGTGGAATCATGTTTATTTAGTAAAGGGGGGTGAATTCCATCTTCAAAGAAACCTTACTGAAAAGGAAAGGAAGCATGATACTGGCCACTTATTATATTTGATTATGGGATGTGTTATGTTTTACATGATTGTAGTGAGCTTATTTTCTTGCAAAGCCAGGCACACAAAAATAGAAGTCAGGCAATTCAAACATATCTTTCTTAAGTATTTTCTTGGCTTTTGTTTTTTTCCCCAAAAGTTTCTGAGAAAGGCTGAGGTCTAACACACATCTGAAATAACATTATAGCAATGCTTTCAAAACACAAGCTAAATAATCACACTCTTGGTTTATTGCAAACCAATCTGAATCCTTAGTAAGTGGTTAATGAATTCAATCAGAACCCCTAACTGGTACTAACAGTAGCTTCTTTTGACACACTACTGAATTGTGCTTATAGTCTACTTTAGAGACAAATCCTATTTTAACACACTGGGATGCCTTTTTTTTTTTTTTTTAATAACGTAATTATCTGTTGCCTGAAAGTAATGGAAACTATTAAGTACATAGACTAAAGTGAATGGAGAATTTTACTGTTGTTCTAAGTTCAAAAGCCATCTATTCTCTTCAGATAGAGAAATCTTTCTGATTTTCTTTTTGTCACCAAACTTTGAGAAAGCCAAGTTCAAATTTTATTGTGGGAGATCAATTACTAGAGAAAAAAATAATATATGATGTACAGGCATCTTCTCATGTCTCTTATTGCCCATTTTGTCCATAAGCACACATTTGTTCAGAAGTAAAGCTGTTATTTTGCAGTTAATCCAAAACTCAAACATCCAGACTAGCATAACTACATACTGCTGAGTCACAAAGAAATGATTCACAGAATTCTTTTTCCCATTTTTCCGGGTTATGTTTTCTTTATTTGTGGCTTTAAATAAATTGTCTTACTAACATTCATAAATAATAATCATAGCATCAGTAATACAAATCAATGCATACAAGAAGTGACTCACTAGCTTGTTGATGGTGCTCTTCATTCTGGAATGGGCTGAATTCATAAGTAGACATTTTGCTTTTCAATAAAAAAGTCAAAACATTGTCCAGCTTCTCCACAGAAGAAAATTTAAAAGCCTGTTAAAAAAAAAAACAAACAAAAAAGAAAAATTGCTACATATGTATTTTTAACTTTACACTCAGGGCATTAGTGAGTAAAATTACTCAAATCAATTGATTATTACAAACTCACTTTTAGTAAGAGCAACATAGGTTTTGAAAAGCTTCAGAAGACATACTCTAACATAGAAGCATCATGATAACACAATCCAACTAAAGAAAAACAGGTGTAACAACTTCCGAAGTTCAGCCACATCTAAGAACTTCTGAATGAAGGGCAAGGACAGGAAGATTTGTGTTTATCAACTCTCTATTTAGCTACAACAATGAAGTGCAATCAGGAGCTGTTCTAACAGTTGCAAGGTGCTAGGAAATCCAAGGTCTTAGTACAGCAGCAATTCAGGATGAGCATAAAGACTACAGTAGCTCTGTTACATTAAGATTGCATACACTGCCCAGTAGGAAACAGCTTCAATTCCATCAGGCTAGTCATAACATCACTGACAGATTAAGCAACTGATAGCAGTCAGTTAGATGACTCACTGACTGCCATGAGATCTTTTTTTTGATTGCCTCTTTCTGGACAGAAGGCCAAGATCAAGAAGGCTAATGACTCAAGGTAGCCAAGCTTTGCTTGGTGTGACAAGAGAAGCACAACTACAGAGATTTTAACAGTAAGAGTATTTTACCTTGAGTACTATGCCAGTAGTCCAGTCCGTGCTGCACTGAGCACCAAAAGTTGTTCAGCCACAGCAAAGAAGCGCCCAGGAGGAATAGGTTTACTCTGCTCAGATGTCAGCAGCCCTGCATTAAAGTTTGTTTTCCCATACCTGAACTGTTTCTAGCCAAGACAATTCTGGGAGTATCTACAGACACAATTCGAATATAAACTTAAGAACTCCATGAATGACATGCTGAGGAGAAAAGAACAGAGGGGTCCTACTGATGCAACATGAAGTTTAATTCCCAAGACTGTCAGAAGTAAGAAAATAAGTGTGATGTGATCAGAAAATGTTGAGGACACAGGTAGGATATAATTTTCATCTGAATCCTGCCCAGAATTAGAGTCATAGAATCACAGAATAATCAGGGTTGGAAAGGACCTTAAGATCATCTAGTTCCAGCCCTCCTGACATGGGCAGGGACACCTCACACTAAACCATCTCACCCAAGGCCTTGTCCAACCTGGTCTTGAACACTGCCAGGGATGGAGCATTCACAACCTCCCTGGGCAACCCATTCCAGTGCCTCACCACCCTAACAGGAAAGAATATCACACAGTTTCACAGTATTCTAGAGATTGGAAGGGACCTCAAAAGATCATCTAGTCCAATCCCCCTGCTCGAGCAGGAACACCTAGATAATCTTACACAGGAATGTGTCCAGGCGGGTTTTGAATGTCTCCAGGGAAGGAGACTCCTCCTTACATCCAGCCTAAACTTCCCCGGTTTAAGTTTTAACCCATTACCCGTTGTCCTATCACTACAGTCCCTGATGAAGAGTCCCTCCCCAGCATCCCTATAGGCCCCCTGCAGATACTGGAAGGCTCCACGCAGCCTTCTCTTCTCCAGGCTGAATAGCCCCAACTTTCTCAGCCTATCTTCATATGGGAGGTGCTCCAGTCCCCTGGACTTGTTCCAACAGTTCCATGTCCTTTTTATGTTGAGGACACCAGAACTGCACACAATACTCCAGGTGAGGTCTCATGAGAGCAGAGTAGAGGGGCAGGATAACCTCCTTCGACCTGCTGGTCATGCTCCTTTTGATGCAGCCCAGGATACGGTTGGCTTTCTGGGCTGTGAGCGCACACTGAAGCTGGCTCATGTTCATTTTCTCATCAACCAACACCGCCAAGTCCTTCTCTGCAGGGCTGCTCTGAATCTCTTCTCTACCCAACCTGTAGCTGCGCCTGGGATTGTTCCGACCCAGCTGTAGGACCTTGCACTTGGCATGGTTAAACTTCATGAGGTTGGCATCAGCCCACCTCACAAGCGTGTCAAGGTCCCTCTGGATGGCATTCCTTCCCTCCAGTGTATCAACCGAACCACACAGCTTGGTGTCATCGGCAAACTTGCTGAGGGCGCACTCAATCCCACTGTCCATGTCAGTGACAAAGACGTTGAACAAGACCGGTCCCAACACCGATCTCTGAGGGACACCACTCGTTAGTGGTCTCCAGCTGGACATTGAGCCATTGACCACAATTCTTTGTGTGCGCCCATCCAGCCGTTCTTTATCCACCGAGTGGTCCATCCATCAAATTGATGTCTCTCCAATTTAGAGACAAGGATGTCGTGTGGGACAGTGCAGAATGCTTCCAGGTAGATGACATCAACTGCACTACCCCTGTCCATCAGTTCTTGTGGCCCCATCATAGCAGGCCACCAAATTGGTCAGGCAGGATCTCCCCTTAGTGAAGCCATGCTGGCTGTCACCAACCACCTTGTTGTTTTCCATGTGCCTTAGCATGCCTTCCAGGAGAATCTGCTCCAAGATTTTGCCAGGCACAGAGGTGAGACTGACTGGTCTGTAATTCCCCGGGTCATCCATTTTCCCCTTCTTGAAAATGGGGGTTATACTTCCTTTTTTCCAGTCGTTGGGAACTTCATGAACATGAAGACAAGTTCATGCAGGTAGGGAGCTACTATTAATAAAATATGATTGTTTGCTTTTTCCATAATTAATACCAGCCCTTCCAATATTGCTTATGAAACATGGAAGTGATTATGCTTAAGAACTTGTAACCTATTTCTTTCTATAAGTCATCCTTTCTGTACCGTCACATTATATTCCCTGTATTTGTTTTTTCAAGAATTATGAGTATATGGTTTAGTTCTCAATAACCAAAGCAATCAGCATTTAAAAAAAACGCCCCCAAAACAAAAAACAAAATTAACCCCCAAAAAAGTCTCTACCTTTACCTTCAAGAATAAAGATACAACCTGAATATCAGACTCACAGTGTGAACTGAGAAAGGAGATGCAAAAACCGCCAAAACATCTGTAACACCCTCCACCACCTTATTAATACTTACATTATGCTTAAAAGTTAACAGCAATAACATCAAATTTTATTTAGCAAACAACATTATTCTCTCTTATTCCAAGAGGGTCTTCTTAGATATGGTATCATCACTGGTACTACCTTAAAAGAGTTCAATCTAGAATAAGACAAAAATAAGTAGTAACATAGGAACTAGCTCAGATGAGTGCATATGCAGATACTGTGCCATGAAGAAAGAGACTCAAAACCTGCGAGCCTGAATACCAGTGAAGAACTGGTATTCACTGAAGCAACTCCATAGCAGAAATTCAACTATATAGAGAACATACAGGTGGGCTTCTAGGTGAAATAAACCTGAAGAAATATTTTCAATTTCCATTTGAAATGGCAGGGACACCCCTTACACATTTTTCTACCTACTAGTCCTCTCTGTTCCAAAAGAAATGAACAAAGAGCCTCTTATCATTTGTCCTGAAATGCCCTAGGAGCAATTTCAAACAGAATTCATTTCAGACTGTCTTGTACTTTAAAGCTAAATAAACAACTCTCAGTCTCTTTTCAACAAGCAGTCAGAGTAATCTTGCCTACAAAGCTCCTCTGCTTTTTAATACAAGCTGAGGCAGAAAATCTTCCTTCTCTCTTTTTATTCAGTCAGAAATCCAGGGAGGAGTACCTTAAGAGCTTATAGCTCCTTGTACTCAGACAAACAAATCTACATGGGATAAAACAATGTTTCACAATCAGAAAGGGAGCAATTCCTTGAAATAAGAGCAGCACACAACTTCAAGAACTTGCAGAAAAGTTTTTAAGGTCATAAATAGTTGCGTAGCTTCACCACATCAGGCTAGCTAAGTTTTGCAAGAGGTTGAGACAGAAACTAGACCTTCCTGATCTCCCAAAGGGAGCAGATTAAATTGAAGCTCAATTTCTCATGCTTTAACAGGCCTGCCTTCCAGTGACCAACCTACCCACTTCCATGATTTCAAAGTCAGGCACAATACCTTTCTCATACAGCCATCAATGGAACTTGCTTCAAGTTTTCCACCTCAATGTTTTTCTCTTAGTCCAGGGATCTAGAAGCTGAAGGCTCTAGCAATGATTTAACAAGCTATCTTGTTAACTAAAGGATAATGTGTAGCTTTGCTTTGCTACTCTACAGCAGAGTTATTTAAAAAAAAAACCAACACCTAAAGTCTATGCTCAGGTCTTTCCACACATAAAGTCTGTTCCAGTACTTACATGAAAATAACAGCTGAAATACTAGTGAAAACAGAACAGCAAGAGGACTACACTGCACTATCTAGCTTTATACCAACATATAGGTCACCTCCACCAAGGAATGCCATTTAGAGACTTTTACTTTACTGCCCATTCCAGCTCCACAGCACTCACAGACTCTAAGTATGCTGCATTTACATATTTCAATGTGTACCCTACACAGGTCTTTATAGGCCCATGATATCTTCACAATAAATCCCTCCAACACTATGTACCTAAAATTCACACTGAAGCTTCACCAAAGCCAACAGAAGTAGAACTGTGCTTAAAGTACATTGCAAGAGAACACTGAGCCATGCATGAGTTTAGAAAAGCCCACATTTTATCTGAGTAAAGATTTAAAACATGGCAAAAAAGTAAAAGCACTATATTCTCCCTGCATGCTTACAGGCAAGTTCTTCTTTTAAGGAGCCACACATAATTAAGGTAACGGGTCTGTAGGCAATTCTTGTCACGCTCTCTGAAGCACAACCAGCTTCTCTCTGCAGCACAACCAGCTTCTCTCTGCTCCATGCTTCCATCCTAGTCCTTCTGCAAGAGCTACTACCTATCCCAAAGCTCGTCACCAGCAGCTTGTCCTTGTTCAGCACCACCTCCCCAGGTGTAGGCACTATCTCCACTCCCTCTCCCTTTTCAAAGCAACAAGACACAGCTGCAAACAACGGAGAAGCCTCATCACACCTGGGTTTCCAAAAATCATCTTTGAAAAGGACAAGACCAAGCACGTATTTTACTACTTTTGTGAACAAAATTATCTACATTTTTTAATAACTGCTAACAAAGCTCTGAAAATATCCGCCACTGAAACACAGTCAGTAAAATAAAATACTTCTTCATGGCTTTAGCAATACTAACAAGGTTAAATTTAGATAAAGATGAACTTCTTCAGTGGTTCTTATATATATATCAGACACTACTTTGTACGTACTTCAGTATCTAGATTTCTACCAAAAAGAATGGGCAAAGCTTAAAAATCACTTAGGCATTTCTGACAATTTTAGCCAATGATAGAATATGAAGAGATTTCATATGTAGAGGAAATAAAAGAAACACTTTAAAATAACAGCCGCTGACGTGGCTTAGAGGATTGAAATATTAAAAAACTGTTTCAAAGGAAATATCTCTGGGATCAGGTAAAGGTGCATGCATAATATCACCACATAAGTCATATAACCATTTCTTACAAGTTTTCATAGAAAAGGCTGCAGTTTATTTTTATTCTTCATTTTCAATATCCACTATAATTGGAATCCTGTTTGATGAATATAATAAAAAAAGTCCTTTAAGGTATCAAGTCTTGCAGAATCATAGGAGTATTATTCAACCAAAGTCTCTCATAAAGACTCCCTGAATCTCTCCAGATCTTCCGAATCACTCAAACGAACATAAACCTATCAATTTCAGTAATAAGGATATGACCCTAGCTTCAATTTTGTTTATAGAACCTAAGAAACCTGTACCTGAAAACCCAAACACTAAATAATGGAATCAACAGCTGCATTTGATAAAGTCTGAAAGAAAAATCAATACAGCATGTAAATCCAGGAGAATGCTGAAATGAGAAGTTGATGAAAAGTAAAATATGAAATATGAAAAAGTTTATTTATGAATTATAGGAACCTTAAAATCAGTCTGATCACTGGGTTACTGTAAGTACTGCCCAAGAGAAGGGTCTTTTTTACGCAAAATTGTATGAAAAGAGAGAACAAGAAAATTCACAGCCTTCAGCCAATACCTACCCTCATATATTCTGACAGCAAGGAAGTTCAGCATTATGATTCAGCTGTTATAATCCCAACTCTTCCTACTTTACTATAAAATTTCAACTGTTTTTTCTTTCAAAACTTATGCAGACATTTATTTCATTTTTTACAATATTTATTTCCATACAATTTAAATATTTATTTCACTGTTTCAAATGTCTTACTAATGTTGGTAAAAGCTTTTTAAATTTTGAGAAATTTGGAATACAGAAAATTACAATCTACCAGATGTGGCAAAGAATTTAATCCAAAAACATGACTGGAAAAAAACCCCTTAGAATACTTAATCTAAAATATGGCTAGTGTTAATCTCTATAGTATTAATATATTGCTCTTTAAAGAGACAAATTCTAAGTGCAGCAGTACCTTTCTTTGTTGGTCTCAAACTAAGATACACAAACTGACCTGACCATCAGTAAAAAGAATGGATAGGTGTAAGCCTATTTGTTGGAGTTTGCTTATATGTTTGACTTTAGTGGGGGACAAAGTGAAGAAGGGGACAATAATCTCAATGATGATGGCATCTCAAAGTAACTGGAAGAGCTGGCAACACAGGATACAATACAGTGAAAGCATTTTACCAAAGCACAGTGGTATACATTACTGTAGCAATTTGCTTTCTTCACAGAATTTTAATGAGGAGATACTTCTCAGCTTGCAAGCATTTTTTAAAATCTTGAATTTCTCTTTGAACTACAGAATGATATTGCCTTGATCAATAATTGCTGTAAGCTTTTCTATTTTATTTCGGTTTTGTTTTCCATTGTGTTTGGTTGGTTGATTGTTATCCACAGATAAATGACTGTTGCCCCAGGATACTTTTGCAAATAAGCTGATAGTCTCAAAGGTTTCAATTATCCTGGTTAAATAACAGTTACTACTACTCCTGCTACTTGATGGGAATACTAATTATTATCAAATCTGTTTTGTTTTTCCTTGTGTGAACATATTTTTAAAGATTAAGTTACATCATGCTCTCTCAATTGGATCTTTACAATGTATCTTACTGCCATTAAATCAGGTTTACGTGAGAGCTGGAAGTATTTTAAAAGTTTGTGGCAAGTTTTGCTACCTAGCTAGTTAGTGTACCTCACTCCGTGGCCCAGTAGGTACCATTAAGTATGATGACAAATCTTCCAGCACATATGTACACTTACAAAAAGATTACCATTAGTAATCCTGTACTCACAGAGCAGCCAAGATACTGTGCAGATTGTACAACTTACTTGATTGTAAAGATTTTCTCAGCATTAATCTTTCAGTTGCCAAAACCATAGAATTAAGAACAGGAAAACACGATCACCTTATTTAAACCCTTGCTTATTATCCAGATGAGAAATCGTGAAACATGCCTGATAGTCATAATACCACAATTGTATTTCCTGGTGTGTACTACTGCTCTGCACAGAATTACTTTTGCATTTGAATATAATTTGAATTGCAAGTGTCTTACTAAGTATTAGTCATGCTGGTTAAGTGAAGGGTCAAACTGCTAAATAACACAAACAAATCTCCAGTGGAAATACCAGGTGTGTTGTAGGTATCCAGGTTACCACTGTAGTTTTTAATCATTATTACACGCTTCTTATGCATAAAATTGTAGATGAAACCTGCTAGAAACTTACTTCTATGTCTTTCAAAATACAGGCTAAAGAATGATGGTTATCATGAAGATTTTAAGAATGTACTTATACTTAAGAGTTGCACTATTTTTCTTGTGTTTTCTTAGAAGCCAAAACGACTTGTACTTCGAAGGAATCTACCCCCATCCTTAATAGAACACTAATAATGCAATACATCATTTTTTATTAATCCTTTTGTTATGAGTGTAATGCCTTAGGTGGTAGATAAGGTAGATTTGTCACAGGAAAATGAGACTGTCTGCACTGGAAACACAGACTATTATTTTTGTTCTGGCTTTGCAATTACAATATAGACATCACGACAAGCTTGCTTGGGCTACCCACCATTCAAAAAATGATACTTGAGATTCCATCCTTTCTTAATAGATGCTTTCTTCTCTTATTATTTTGTATATGCCACTGGCAAAGGACATACTGCAAAGCACTCAGCTCAAAACCTGAATTTTTCTAAATATATGCAAAGAATCTGCATGGCAACCAGCAAACCACATGAATGATAATTCAGCAGCTATAAATGGACTCTGCATGAATAGCAACCTACTGCGTTCCATACAAGCTATGCCAGAAAAATCCCGTTTGCTCGTGAATGAGTAATAACCCTCCAAGTACAACGTGATTTAAGATTACTTGCTTCTACCAGTTTCAGAACATACTAAAAAGAACACTTTCAGTGGAGAGGGACATCATTGTTGTTTGTTATTTTCATCCTCTGTAATGCAGGACGCTGTTAATTGGGCATATACAGCACACAGTTTATATCACCCTCTAAACAAAACCAAAATAGACATAAATTTGTTTTCACTTGCCTAACTTGCTTTAGAGCTAGACATCTCAAAGACACTCTTTCTGTAATCATAAGCCTGTTACGGAGCCATTACCCATTACAGTGCAATCAAAAGATTGTGTATTATGTCTTAGCTCATATATGCACTTGTGTTCTTCCTTTTTTTTTTATTTTTTTTTAATTAAAAATGCAGAAGTAAACTTACCTGACAAGTGAAAGCTATTGGGTCAGCCACTTTCTTAAAAATGTGCTCAATCTCCTCTAGTGTAGTATAGTACTCGATCTGTGCTGTGGTCTTCACGACTCCTCCACAATACACATTTACATAAACAGGGCCAGCAGGAAAATCTTTTAAAACACAATCAGAACAGTAGCTTAAAATATTTTAACAGGCCCAGACCAGAGGGCTCAGGGAATGGGTAAAACCCAGGAAAATCTCACAGAAAATGCATACAGCCAATGAACTGGATTTACGTTTCAGAGATGATTCAGTGTAGTCAATTTTTTATCCAGGTCTTTCAGTCTAACATTAAAAAGCTGGCAAAAGAAAACATGTATCTGTAAATCTGTCTAGAACAAAGCTACTGCGTTACTTCACGTTAGAAAGGAGATGAAAACAGTATGATTCAAATTTTCAACTTCCCTTTGATAGACTGATGACCTGTAATCGGCTCCCTTATGCCTACAGATTAAGGAAAAGTTCATTTATTACAAATAGTGGAACTGCTATTCATCTTTTGAAACTTTTTTCTTAATTGCAGGCAAGGTTCTCAAAATTGAATTTGAACTAGGCTGCAGAAATTGCAGTATAATTATTTCCATTCCAGTTGTTTACCTAGTGAAAGCAAAAGAAAGTATTATTTCTACAGTCTGTTACTTTAGTATGGCTTGCTCTGTGTATGCAGCATGAGCCCTCTTTATGAGCACATTTAGAATTCATTAGTATTCACTGTGCCAGGCATCCTGCTGTACCAAGCCAGTACTAACCCGGTTTTCTTAGAATTCTAACTCTGCCCACAAAAAGAATAAAAATGGGCAACCCTGAAAATGAAGAGGAGTAATAGTGCCAAAGAAACTAAATGAATAGAACATCACCTTAAATCACTTCAATGGAAACTGCCTTCCCCCCCCCCTTTTTTTTTATTTCTGACATGAGATCACGTGGATCCTTATTAAAAAGGGTACTCCAAACTTCCAACTTTCCCAGATTTTGAAACAGAAAAAAGCCCTCAGAGAGAACAATTAAATACAAATGATAAAAGAAACAAAATTAAACTCAGTCTGTAGCTCTCTGCCAAATTTTTTCATAATATTTCATTTACTGTTCATATTTTATTTTTTCATCCACTATAAAAGCCTTTCTGTGATCAACATTGTTGCTGCAGAATAATTATGGAAGAATCTTTTAAGATCTGTGAATGAGAACTTCAGCTTTCCTTCTCTGAAATCCAGTTACAGATGGAAGTTTCCAGCTGGTCATGTACTTCCCAATCAGGTCTCTAAAAACAAACTCTCTGCACCACCACAGCGATAAAGAACTCTCAGACCATATGCAACCATCATCTCAGAACAGTATTCAGGATAAAAATCAGGCCACAGAATTTCCCAAGTGCAGTTCCAAGAAGCAACTGTTGCAAATTTTAGCCTATATGTATATATTTCTTCCTATCCTAGTGCAATGGCTTTAGAACAAAATATTCTATCAGTTCCTTTGGGAATTCACAACATGCAGTGAAGTAGCAAGCTACACTCTGAATACTTAGGTGAAAAATTCTTTAATTCTTAACTCACATCAAGTGAGTGGGGATAGGTGTGGCCCTTAAAATCTGCACAGATCTCCTAAGAGAAGCTACTGTTAAATAGCTGAAACTGTTGGCAACTAGTTATGGCTGGAACAGTTGGAAAAAAAAAAAAAATCATTAGAAACCGTCAGAGATGAGTGATATAGAGAAATGGCATGGACATGAACAAAGAAAATAAATTATTTCCTGTATCAGTAAGAATTCGAGAGGAATATAGCCAAATTTACTGCATTAAATATGAAATGAAACATTTTAGTAATAGAGTAATAAGAAAAGAATATTAGCTTTGTATTTTATGGCAGTGATTTTGAAGACTGTTACTGTGACTAATCAATGACATTTTAAGAATGCCACCTGCCATTTAACCACACGAAAACAACCTAAGAGAACCTCATTTCCCATAAATCACAAGGCCTTGCTCCTCTGCATTATTAATAAATGTTCTGTGTGCAAAACCCATGTACAGGAAACACCTACAAATAGTGAGAAACGAAATTACTGATCAGAAAAAGTGAAGGGAGTCCAAAGTTTCCTACTTACTTAAAGGTAAAAAATGTTTTCCTTACCTAAGGCTTTCATGTACTTGATCTTCTTAGTCCAAGAGGCTGGCTGTGTCCTAATTCGTTGATTATCTGCTATGAATTCAATTTCTAAAGTTTCATCATCTATTTCATCTTTCAACAAAATGAATATTTCACCAGGGTTCTATAAAATTAAAATATGTTCCCATAAGTCCTTCAGCAAATTATACTGAAAGTGTAAAATGCAAATGAAAACAGAAGTTGGAAGGAAAGGTCCTTTATGAACAGTTTCACACAGAAAAATCGTAATACCAAACCATGATGCCATCTCAGTGCTCTCCTTCATCATTTTACTGATATAAATGGCACAATTAATGTAGTATTTTAAACTCAGCTTACCTAATAGTAGTTTAAAACAGTATTTTAAATTCCTATGTAGGCGAATTGTTACATTTTCTAAGGCCATTCTACTTTATAGTCTACAAGAATGACATTCAGCCTGACAAGAGGAACCTAAAATACTCACACTCTTACAGTGAACTGACAGTAAAGTAAGACAGAAGCAGCAGGTAATGTGAGACGACACCCCTCTACTGCCTTCTGACCCAGAGGGAATATTACTCCCTTAGAGCTAAACTGATCTCAACAATAAAATTATGTGCTGTCTCGGTTTCAGCTGTAGCAGTTTTTTTCTTCCTAGTAGCTGGTGCAGTGCTGTGTTTTGGCTTCAGTCTGAGAACAATGCCGATAATACACAGATGTTTTAGTTGTTGCTAATTAATGCTTACCCTGATGAAGTACTTTTCAGTCTCTTATGCTCTGCCAGTGAGGAGGGGCACAAGAGGCCAAGAGAGAAGAGAATCAGGACACCTGACCAGACTAGCCTGAGGGATATTCCATACCACAGGACATAATGCCCAGTTTATTAACTGGGGGGAGTTACCCAGAAGGGCAGGTTACTGCTCGAGTCGGGCTGGGTATCAGTCAGCAGGTGGTGAGCAACTGTACTGAACATCATTTGTATTCTCTGAGCTTTCATTTTTTCTCTTGTTGTTTCCTATTTTTATTACTATTGCTATTGTTTGTATTCTTTCTATTATCACTATATTTTACTTTGGTTTAGTTACTAAATTGTTCTTATTTCAACTTGTGGGGTTTACATCTTTTGATTCTCCTCCCCACCATGCCCTGGGGATGTGGGAAAATGGTGGGGGTGTGAGCAAACGGCTGCATGGTGCTGAGTTACTGGCTGGGTCTAAACCATGACACACACATAAATCATCTTTGAAAGACAGGTAACAAGCAAAATACATGACATTCCATGTACACTGCAACCTCCTTATCTGACTGTGGCCACTTATTTTTATAAAGGAATAGAGTGCTGGATATTGTACTTCCTCTGTTTACATTTTACCTATTTTCTCATAGCAACTCTAATTAAAAAAAACCACATATGAACATTTGTGTCCATTGGATATGTGTACAGATATGCATATATAAATATTTCTGATTTCATTTCAAATCAGACAAGGTTTATGGTCACAAAAGCAAGCACTTGTGTAACCTATGGTATGGGCACATATGCATGTACCCATATACCCATCATGGATTCTTGCCAAGGCACTCCACATCTCCCAAGAAGTGCCTAATTACATGCTTCCTCTAAACTACAAGGCCCACGCGACAGTAATATCTCTGCCCAAGCTTCCAGATGATTCTAACAGAGATAAAATCCCACAGAGGCTGTATCAGAACTATTTTATTTGTAAGTCTTTTGGCTGCAGTGTGGATGTGACCCAAAGGCAAAATAAATCCCACTGCAATCTCAATGTACTCTCATTTTGGCCCCTTATCTGCTATATGTTTTCAAACTGTTACAGTAAGAATGAGATTGCAGCAGGAAGAGAACAACACTGACTGTTATCCCAAAGATTTTCGCATCCAAATACTTACCTCACATGATAGTCTTCCTGGAAGCACCAATATCGACTGCTTGTTAGTTTCTAATGTTTCAGAAAGTATCTCTGTTTTAAAAATGAGGTCTGTTTTTTCTGATGCTCTCCTGACATCTGACAAGGTAGCATCAGAGCTAGTCTTGTGATCTGAAATAAATAATGTGGAATAAGAACATTGTTAACAATCCCAGAACAACAAAACATGGCAATGATGTGGTTTCCAACATACTGCTCATACGGCATTTGGAATCATGTTAAGGGTAACTCATAAAAGCCTGGCAAAATTCCTTTTCATGTAGTGAGGTTTCCCCCTTTGATAAAGAGCTTCAGCTTGCCTCTGAAGTTCTGATCCTGCAGCCTGTAACTTTATGGACAGGCTCTGCTCATATGCTTTGCCCTACTGAAATCAAAAGGGTCACAGCCGTTAGACCAAACGAGGTCAAAGAGATAAGCCAGTTTTGTAGTCTAAGAAGAACAATCTCTCATATGCTGAGATTAACTTTGATTTTTACCACTCTTGCTTTCGCTATATATAAACAAGGACATGCAACACATTTACAACATCAGCCCATTTGTCTACAGGAAGGAATTATGTGCAGGCAGTGATACCTGTGACAGATAACTACGACAGCAGACCCAGGTTTCCTCGACACAGACTCAATAGTCTTTGTCTTCCTTCATGGACAAAATGATGGACTGAAGGCATGCATTTTTTGTGTAGGATATTCTCAATTTGGAACTGCTATGCCAGGCATGCAGACAGCTAGCAACAAGTTTCTTTTCTGTTTTGCTGTACCAGTAAAGGCCCAAGAACCCTACTGAATCCTTCACCATATCACAGGATTTAAAGAGGAAACATAAAAGAATTGACAACTGCATCTGCAGAGCTCTGACTAAGCCTGTGTTTTAAAAAAGCCATCTTTCACACCTGCTACTTCTCAGCTCTATCATTACTACTCCTTTCCAGACACTCTATTACCCTGTACAAAATGCTCTTGCTACCCATCTCAAAGGACTGCAGCAACTCTTCATCACACAGGATTACCCAACATATTGCAGTCACCTAGTTAGATTAATGGTATCATTCCAAGCAGCACAGAGTTAAAAAATCTTGACTGGCTGGTGAGAAAATATCCTGAGAGACTTCAACAGTATCTTATACTACTGTAAATTATGGAACACTCAGTCAACTACATTCAAGGACACAAATAACTTTTCAGACACATCTTTTCCTCTTAAATTGATGTAGAATATTAATATAAATTAGTCATGGGCAGAACACAGAACAGTAGCAATTTGGCTTTGCTCAAACAAGTACATTCTCAGGTTTTTTGCAAAAGTGCCCAAGTGACTGAAGTACACAAACCACATGGTGCTCTTAAGCAGCATGGAACTCATTCCATTCAGCATCAGTATTGGTAATTTACAATTAGTTTTCTCACTTGTTGCTTGCCTTTATTTCCCCCATATGTACCAGTTTCTCTGATATAGACTGTTCCCTTTTCTTACCAACCTTGCCTTTCCTACAAAGGCATAGATTTAATAAACTTATATAATTAATATGCCTGATAAGTGAAGTTATGCCAGGGAATGTAATACAGAAGCTTGGGTACGCTAGGTCTGATTTATCTGAGATAGACTTTTTTCTTTTTTTGCAGAGATGTGCCTTGATTGTTGGAGAGCTCTCAGAACAAGGAAAGAAAGGGAAAGGTAGCTTTTGTCCATGTTTCACTGAGGAAGCTAAAGGTTCTTTGAACATCTAAGGAGGGCAGGTTCAGTGCTCATCACCAGCTAGCAGAAATTTCCCGAACTACTCATGCTTATATTCTCCTGCCTTCAAGGTAAACTAATTTTGAATTTCAGCTGTGAATTCAGTGCACATTGGTAAAATTACACTGAACCTTTGTGTAGACATACATCATTGAATTGAAGCAGTTTAAATTCCATTTGCTTTAATTTAATTTGAAAGTTAAACAGGCTACACTAAACAAAGGCTATTTTGATTTTGAATGAGAATCTACCCACAGTTGGATGCAGTTTAGCTAATCCAACTCAAAAAATAAATGCATTAATTTCTCTGATCATCCCTGTGAAGACTAGACTTTATTTAGCACCACCCTTCAGAAAAACGAAGGCATGAACCCTTGCTTAAGAAAACAGTTAGAATACTGTGTGCCCACAGCACATACTTTGGGAATATTATGTTTTATCTGCTCATATTTTAAGTCACTCATAAATCTTAGGCATTTACTTAAGAATTTACTTCAGAAACAACTCATGTGAGATACATGCCGCTTCTGAAATTTTTTATACCCCACTTTAAGCAAAGGAGTATTGCAAAGACAAGAAATATTTCATCATCAGATTGACAAAATAAAAGGACTGCATAGCAAATCTGGTAGGCAGTAGATTCTCTAATGTCGGCTTCCTGTCAGTGATCATTCTTCAATAATCTTGTAGATGCATTTTAATCTATATGAAGTTCATGACAGCTTTATTTCTACAGCCTGCATACTGCTTATCAAAGATGACAGTGGTTACTTCCACCTTTTAATGTACCCAATAATTAATCTACCAAGAAGGTCAATGCTAGTGATAACAAGTTGTTTCAAACTATGATATTTTCCTCCCACACTAATTTCATTTTAATGTTTTTATTATGCCTCATGATGTGTATTTACAATATTAGGACTCCAACCCAGTCAATATTGGAATTCCACAGCCCTAGAGTATAATCAAATTATTAAGAAATGTGGCTTTTACATCAAAGAGTTAGGTATTTAAGAGAATGAGGGATTCCCTTGTTGACTGTAAAAGTAGTTACCAATTTATTAGCTAAACACCATCAAGCAAGACTTACTTCACTAAATGTCAGGTCTACCTAACAATCAATAAAAGCCATGTAGAACTGTTCAAGATTAACAGGGATCTAAATTATCATTACTATATATTTAACAACCAAAATCCAGAGCCCCAATCTCTAGCACTCAGATTCCTACCAACAGTTGCACACTGTCTGTCCTAAAATGTAGAATGTGAAACAACCACCTGAAGTGTTGTCAATGCTGAATGAGAAATACACCAGAGATTAAGGTAGCCTTTTCTTGGTGGCATTATCTAAAACAATGTAGCTCATTAAGGATTTAATACTGTAGTAATGAAATTTTAGTAATACAAATATAGCAAGGTACAGAAAATACTTGTTTAATGTGGGTAGAAGGCGTAACCTGATGTATAGGTCTTTTGAACACTCAGATTTTGGATATCTTCATTGTGAATCCTCTTTACAGTCTTGCTTTCAACCTGAAGGCATAGCTAGAATATCCATTAACTGCTAAGGCTTTCTGAAAAATGATCATTTAACAAAAATTTACAAATGTAGGTGAAGATTAGCTTCATTAGGAACATCATTATAATGCTGGAATATCTAAGAGAGAGAATTTATTAAAAGGTATTTGTTGCTTGGTGACTCTGTTCTTTTAACATTATATATAATGGTGACCTATCTGTGAGGCTCTTAAAATGAAGCAGTAATGATTAAACAATGGATGGATAAAACCAAACTGTTTTTTGAAGGATTGAGGTATAACAAATTATTAACTATATCTAATGATGCTTAGCACTATGAGCTGGAAGCTAGAAAGAAAAGAAAATCTATGAGATAATCTTCCCTTGAGTATTCAGGGCATACCTACTGGGAGTTATCATCTATTATAGAGGGTAATGCTCCATTTCCATTAGGTTACTTTTACTGGCTTACTTTTGATAAGTATCTACTGCAGATGGCCACACTGAATGTACTGATCTTAAATTTAAATTCATATTTACATAATAAAACATTACACACATGTACTGTAACAGATATTCATTTAATTGGGCACAGTGCTGATGCTTTCAACTTCCCTTCAATGTTCTCTCTTAATTCATGTAAATTCAATACATCAATTTGATATATTTTACACAAAACCTTTTGGAATGCATTATTGCTTTCAATTTAACATTTTAAACTGAATTAATGAAATTACTTTGAAATTGCATTCCTTTATATAAACTGAGAAATTTTAATGAAGCCTCTCTAGTCTCTTGTGGATTCAACAATTAATTCCCCATCTTGGCTTCTGAACAACTTTCATGCCACATCCAACCTCTCCCCCACTTCCAAATTCTAACTTTTCAAATACACTCTTTAGCTATCCACTTTGCAGTCTACATTACGATCATAAATTGCCTCTGTCTTTTATTATTTGGTACTTGCTACATGTTTTGAGTCAACAATGTACATGACAGATTTGGGGTACTAAAAATAGCATAAACAAACTTATGAAAGATTTATGTGTTTTCTAAGGCTACCCACGGAATGAATCTCACAGCTGAAATACATCTAGTTTTAAGAAAGCAAAATGCCCACTAGCTTCACAAATTTCAGTTCTTACTCAAGTCTTCCTAAAGCAATGACAGCTGAAGAACTGAAACTGCATTACAAAAAAGGTCCTTGTTTATCCCTGGATCAACACACCATATAAAAAGGATGAGAAATATGGGCAAATCAGGTTAGGCAGATGACAGGGAATGGAAAGGTAATAAAGCACAGGTGGCCAGCTTACCACATGAAAAAAAAAAAGGCAGTGCATTCCAGTGTCAAAGATTAAAATAAAAATTATTACAGGGAAGAACACATAGGCTAAATCTGGCAGATCATTCAAGTGCAGGAGTCATTCCATGTAACACTCCCCAGCACAATGTGAGGTAAAGGCAGAGATGTTCCCATTGCACTCTGTGAGGTATAATTGAAAAGGTACTTGTCTACAAGTGACTTCCTTGCAATTCAAAGGCTTAAAGCCAAACACTTGTGTGAGTGCTCTCCAGAATTGTGGATAAATGTAGAGCCATACAGGCAAAAAAAAACCCAACAAACCACTGTGTGGAAAAATCACAAAAAGCCATGCACATCACAGTCTTCCTGCAATCATCATAAGATTATCACAGACATTTATAAAATGTAAACCTTTTAAAGAATCTGTATCTGTAAATGCTGTATGAACTCAGCAAAGTGCAGTGGAATTGAAAGGCAGCCTTTAACTACATAAACTGCAGTTTATAGTAAATGACCTGAAAAAGACTGTGAGGAACATAGAGGTAGAAAACAT